GCAGCACCTGTCGCGGGGCTACACGAAGCTCTGGCATATAGCCCTTTGGAGTATATGCTGTGAACAGACGCTTTCCTGCTGGCAAGTGTCCTCCCACGACATCGAAGTGCTCTCCCCATATACAGGGAAGTCGTATCGTTTCGGCGCAGGTTGTTCCTGGTGCTTGGCACATCTTGACACCCATGCAAGACTCCAGGCATCAACCAACAGTAGATCTATACGCACATGCCCTATGGCTCATGCGACATCTATGGAAGCGTGACTTAGACGGTATTGGACGGTGCTAGTCATCAAAAGCTAGAGCCTAAAGCAACGAAAGAATCTGTGCTCTGCTTGACACGTTGATCCATCGCCCTGGAAATTCCCATGTCTCACGACTTGTGCTCTTCGCGCCTGCGCTTGCGGATGGGGAGCCTCGCCATAGACACGGAGGTTTCGCAGGTCTGCAGGATTGCTTCTTTCTTTTGGCAGCACCTGTCGCGGGGCTACACGAAGCTCTGGCATATAGCCCTTTGGAGTATATGCTGTGAACAGACGCTTTCCTGCTGGCAAGTGTCCTCCCACGACATCGAAGTGCTCTCCCCATAAGCGCGGAGGTTGTGGGTTGTCGGAGGAAGTTGTAGCTCCTGGTGCCGCTATCAACCATGCAGTATCATGAAGTATTCCAAGACATCTCAGGGCAGTAGGTTTCCATTACCACAACCATGCTAGATGCAGCAAGGTATCGCATTTCGGGGGCATGCTTGAACTACTGATGCTTGCCTCCGCTGGTGGATCAGGGCCATAGGGATTGGATGGCACCTGCAGCTGTCCCTCTGTTCAAGTATTACAGTACCATCGTCAGCTCAAACCGTCTGTGCCATTGAAAAAATTACCGTCTGCACTCCTGCAACGCTGCATGAAACGTTCAGCGCAGTCTCCTAGCTGAGTCCTAAGGCTGTACTTTGAAATGCACAAGTCAGCAAAGCCATCTGTGCCGCCTGCCTGATAGGCTGGCCCATGGCCCTGTGGTCGTTCCTGCGCTCACACTCCACAAGTGCTTATAGGCACCCCAAGGCTCTCTCGCAAGGCGGGGTTTATGTGTTGAATTTCTGTTTGCCAGCCATGCAGCTGTTTTCCTTGTTCGGTTGTCCATGGTTGGCTAAGACAAGCACGGCTGAATATCCCGACTCATTGATGTGTCAGTGGCCTGAAGCCACAAGTTTGATTCGACCCAAGCCCATCTAGCGAATGGAGCGAGAAACAGAGATGTAGCCATCTGTCCAATGTGTGCTGCTTTTAGCAGTGTTGGTTTGGGGGGTTAGACGGTTTGGGGCTTTTGATTCCCCAAGTGGGCGCGCTCTCCTTAACGACGAAGAGACATTCAAGAGGAAAATGAAACCAGGGAATGTCTCAACATTTTGGTCTTAGAACTTGGCGAGTAATGAGGCTTGGGTAATGGCAAGAGCACCTTCGCCACGAAAGTGGGCCAGCTGGGGCTCTCAGTCATATACTATCTTGAAATATCTTGAAGCACTGCTTTCGTTTGCAGGCGTGTTCAGGATTTAAATGTTTAATGCGCTGCCTCAACATGCCGCTGCAAAATTGCCAAATGACCAGAGCGTTACCATGTCCTGTGGCACAGCAGCATGTAGCTCCCAGAAAGGTGGCGAGCGTGGCCGGTGCGGCGGTGGGGGCGGGGGAGGCGGTGGGACAGGCGGGTGCAGGGCATTGAAGTTGAAGTCGTACGCGGTGGAGACCTGGTCGGACTTTCTGCGGCTGTCTCTGTCGTAAAAATCGACCTATGCTTAAAAACTTTTTCATCAAGTCCTGATCTCCATGTTTTCTCTGCTTCATTGCCAGCAATGAGCCTCGCTGGTCCCAGAGATGAACTTCATGCGCGCGGACAGTGTGCAGAACCTGTCATGAGCAGGAGTGCATTGCAGCTTCACAAGGTCACTGCTTTTAGCAGATCAGAGTTCAACTGAGCCCCATCTTCTACTCTAGACTCCAGAGCTTGGAGCTACGCCCCACTCTGCTGAAGTGTACTCACCGGTGCCCGACTAGACTCAGCAACCTGTTGCATCATACAGGATGCGGGTTCAACGTGATGACGCCACTAGACAAGCGAGCTGGCAGGACGAACCGGCCCTGCCTCAGAAGCGACCAGAAGTGGCAAGGACAGAAATCGCATACCCAACAGCTACTGACAACGCCACTTTCTAATCCTCTCGCATTCAGGTTCTGTCCCTGCATGCTAAGTAACAACTCGCACTCAAGGCAGGGTGCAGCGCACATGCTTTTTGATGCAGCCTGATCTTTCAAGAGACAATTCGCTCAGCTGGGACCTCTCATGAGCCCCATCCCACCATCACAAACGATGCATTGTCCCGTGATTTGCGTCTCGCCGGCCTTCGCGCAGCATGGAAGCACTGCAGAGTGGGACTGGCCGCTCATCCACACCCTACCCTCTATCAGGCATAGCCCCTTTGATGACAGCACGAAAGCAGTGTCAGATTTCCACAAGCGAAATTGCCTCGAGGAGCATGAGGATCGTCGCTGCCACTTTATCCTTAGGTCATGGATGGCTGCGGCAACAAAAAAGTGTCTAAGTGAGAGATCCGCTTGAACTACGATGTTGCCAAGCGGCTGGAGTAGCTACAGCCTTCATTGGAATGCTTGTTTCTAGTCGTTGCTTGACGAAGTCGTAAATCTCAGCGCCCATGCCTGCATAAGATCGAAGTGCAACTACTTGTATCTTGAGACAGCAGGAGAGGATCCGAATCCAAGCCTTCACGAAGCCATCGGCCCTCGATGAATCCAGGACAAACTGCGTTCACGATGATCTCCGGGCCAAGGACCTTTGCCATGACCTCGCGTCTGTTTTTTCGCAAGCCCCAGACCATCTGAGCGAGTAAGGCGTTGGCCGCGGTCAGCGCATTCAGTGCAGCCTTGGACATCCTGAGTTGAGTCTCGATTTGAAGAGCGAAGCCTCTAAGCTGCTTTTCAACTGACAAGAAAGTGCCCTAAGTGCAAGCACGCATCAAATACGCCACAGAGCTGCCAACCTCAGGTGTGTCATAGACAAGCCCAAATTGTCAATGCCACTGAAGAAAAGCGGCTTAGGCTCTTCCGCACCAAGGCAATGCTGCACTTTGACATAATTCAAGGCTGTGAATAAAACAGCGTTGATCGCTCAGTTGAAGACATTCATGTTTGCAGGCGAGCAGCTGTGTGGTAAGCCCCAGCCACGGAGGACACGTTGACGACACGCCCTCCCCCTGCCTCTCTGCCATGCTGCCATGTTGTTACACAAGGAGATGCTGTGCACCCTGGCCTTCCGCATGTGTGGCGCACACAGCCGGATCATGCGAAAAGCGCCGATGGCATTCAGCTCCTCAGCTTTTCTATGCCCTGAAAGAAAACATCGTCGTTGGCAGCCTCAAGCGGCCGAGGGTCGTAGATCCGGCGAAAATCGTCTGATGAAAGACCTCCCAGGTCGTGATGATGAACAAACTTGGTCGTACCAGCATTGTTCCTCGGCAGTGTGAGGTACATGCACACATGCGATGCAATGGACAAGGCAATTTTCACTGCAGCAGGCTTCAAAGGTGTAGCCGAGAATCACTAGAAAATCAATCCGGCCGAATCTTTTCACCTGAGACAATTTTGAAAGTCCTTCAACTTCAGACTGACCTTGGTCTTGTTTGATGGACACACAGGCCGCGTGGGCCTCTAAACAGTTCAGCAGGTATGCAGGGCCCGCGCAGTCTCCGAAACAAGCTTGTCACAACCACCATCCGTGGCAACATCTGCTTGGCACAGCAGCACCTGCATACTTTCTCACTCAATTCTGCCTGCTTGTCTAATCAGTCTAATCGGACAGACAGCAGTACAGGCCCCTTCATTGGTTTCCCACCACTCACAAAAACTGGAAGGCTGGCCTCTGCGCCGGTGGCCGCGCACCCCTGCAAAGCACTGCGCTGCCGCGCATGAACTAGATTCCCTCCAAAATGCACCTCTGCAACTTTTGCTGCTGCATCTGCGCTTTTGGAGAAATTCACCACCTGATGGCAGCATTTCGAATTCGTGAAGACCAGATTGCTAGTCTTGCATGCCAATGCTGCTGCAAGTCACTGAAGAATCTGGGTGCCAGCACCACGGAACAGCCCCGCTCAGCCAGGCGCTGCGCGAGGGCGGCGCCGACACCCGAGGACGCACCGGTGATGACGGCAACCTGGCCAAGAGCAGAAGTATCAGTTCTGCAGCGCGAGGCCTCCTGGGCCTTGCCAGAAAGGTTCTGGTTTGAAGGACCTGGTCAGGGGTAAATGGGGCAACATGCGGGGATCAAGCATGCATAGGCCCTGCCTGCCACGGGCCGCGCTTCGAGGTGTGCAGCCAGGCGCCGCACGCGTCCAGCCGCCATGAGCTGTAATCGGGAAGATTAAGGACCAGCAGCTTTTGAAAAGTTGGAGTCTGGCCTTGCATGTGCTGGGATGTCGATGTTTGCCTTTGTTGTAAGCCTCCTGCTGAGCCGCAGATAGCTGCAGAAATCCTTCCACGTCTCCAAATTCCCGGGCAGAGTCTGTGGGGGTCCCCAAGCGCTCTTCGAGACAGCGCAGAGAATGCCTGCTATCTGGGGAGCCAGCCAACTTGTGCAAGATCGGAGTCAGAGTCCCAAGTGGCATTCTCAGAATCGTTCCTCAGACGGCTGCAGAGGTCAGATGTCCCTCATCAAGTGCGACTAAATGCTTGAGACAGACTAACCGTAGGAGGAAGGATGGGTCAACCAGCTTCTGAGAGCTGAGCGCAACGAAGGGCTGTGGTGCGGAATGACGTGCCATAGCTTTGGAAGACACCATAGCTTTGGAAGAGAAATCTCGGAAGGGCATGCTGCTGCAAATGCATGGCTGTTGCTGCTACTGCTGCTGCTCTTGCTGTAAAATGATGTCCGTTCCTTTGCAACATGTGTCCTCAGTAGCAGTGAGTCTGTAATGAGAAAGATTCGTGACTTCTTCCGTAGCAGATTGGGACACTTCGTCGCACTCGTGAATTCATTCAAAACCAACCTCAGAGATGCTACGATCGAGATCAAAGGGGACCGCGGAACACGGGCCTTTACTAAAAAAACATCTGGGGAATGGTACTTCGAGAGCATGTCTCGTAAGCGCGCCCCGAATGTGGAATTTCGACGTTGCGTGCGCGCATGCTCCCATATGATCTGCGCCACGTTGGTGTCCAAACTCACACGGACGCTAAAATCTCCGATGCATTAGAGGCATCTGCGATGTTGTGAGTTTACGTCATCTTACCTTGGCAATTGCTTGTAAAGTTGCCGGCGAGCCGATTGCACGTGACCCCTCCTCATCATGGCCGAGGTGAGCCCGGGGTCCGCAGCCTCCGCTGCCTCCTTCCTGAGCTCTGGTCATGTGGTCATGTTTTTCTTCTAGACATCCTGCCTGGCTATCTGTGAAGCACGAGCTCAGAAATCCATGCTGGCAGTGCGTAAGTCCACTTTGAGCTGGGTCACGGGATGGCACGCACTCGAATTCGGTCGCAATCAGCATGATCGCGGATGTCTAGGTTGTATGTCTGGTCCTGCGGTTGACATTCGACACACAGCTCTCTGTGGAACTCAGAACTTCAAATCGTTGAGGCCCTGACCATTTCATTGAAAGACTTCACGACAGCAGGCATAGAGGACTGTCCAGCACCCTGACCCCAGGCTCAAACTCAAATTACTTTAGCTAGTACATGCTAAGCACAGAGAGGACTCTGCCTGTTGCTCCCGCTGCTGACTGAAGTAGTTCACCAGAGTCCCGCGAGGCCATGCCTCCGGCAGCATCCGCAACTGCAAAGTATGAACACGCAACCCTGAATGCTTTTCAATGATCGTTGTCATTCATATTTGGCCGCATGTCACTGCCCAGCCTGTTCTGCTGTGATCTCCTTCGCTGGAGAAATTCGCGAAGGCTGCGCGTGGGGCCGCACATCCAGGTTGTACGTGCCTCAATGCAGCCAATCCCAGCCCGCGGCCGCGGCTACTGCTGTTACGAATACCCTCGAAGAGAGCAACAGGCTGAGAACCAGACAGTCAAGGTCATTGAAGCCCTGTATGACAGCAGGTAAGAAAGGATACTGTGTCGACCTTGGCGAGCCGAGCATTCGGAGCAAAAGGCTCATCGGAAGGGATGATGAGCCATGATCGGTATGGCAGCAAATCATAGGCTGCCACGAAGTCGGCTCGTATCGGCATTTTGTGCCTTTGCAGGCATGCTGGTGAGCGCACAACATGCCAGTGATTCTTACTGAGCCTATCGACCGCAATGCCGTCTCGGCATGTCGATAGCATGGCTACAGACTTTGGCAAATATGCGGGCAAAAGGATGTTCAGACTGAAGCTGCACCACTCATCACTTCAGAGCTGAAGACCAGTATGTTGCCCGGCCTGGCGGCAGCAGTCGTGGCGCTGTTGAGGCCATCAGCGTTACCGGGGACTCTCGTTGTACGGCTTCTCGTGGCACCTCCTGCCGAGAAAGCTTGCAATTCCAGGGGCGAATCGTGCTTTTGTCCAGGTGTCGCACGCACCTGAGGCTAAAGGTAGATGCAGCGCCCATAGAATGTCGACCCCTTTGCTTTCCCGCTGAGAGTATAGATCCCACAACTATCCGTCATATGGTGGATACTAGGAATCTTGCATGACCCTAAGTGCCTTATGACTGGGGAACTACAGTACCATAGTATAGTAAGGCCATGCAGGATTTTTAGTATCAGCGGTAGTACTGCCAGCTTCAGTTGCTTCCTATGTCTGTCTGTGCTCTATATGCTGCCCCTATCTCAATGAGTCCTGGGCCGCGATTTCCTGAAACAGCACAGAGACATCGAGCCGGTAGTTCTTGACTCTTTGCTCGGGCACGAGTAATTTGTCAGTCAGGACCTAATCAGCTTCAAACTATTTACCTGTCTTAAATACTACTTAGGCTTTGATCTGCAGGATGAAGACCACAGGCTTGTAGCATCTGTTCTAGCAGAGTTGTGGTGAACTTGAAAAGGTCTATGCCTGGCAGGTTTGGACATGCATTCTCACCCTCTGGCGGCTTCAGGATCTTCAGGTTCATGGGGATTTATGCTGCATCCTCGCCCTCGAGGTCTGACAGCAAAACTCGGGGTCACATGGGGTCACCCACGCCAGAGTCGCTGCAAAAGCCATGTACCAAACTTGCCAGGTTGCTCCCAAACCACACTTCCTTTCTGTATGAACAAATCCCTCGGGTGCCTTTGTCCGCTGAGTCCGAAAGTCCTTGTTTTGCTTTTTCACCTCCACAGCAAAGGCTTTGCCACAAGCTAAATTTGCAGGTGGCCCGCCCAACCTAGTAGCTCTGCGTCCACTCAAGTTTTGCTTATTTTCAGGCTCTGATTGGATGAGTGTCTGGATGAGTGCACAAACCAGATTCTGTGTTCACGGAGCTTGCTTGCGCTTTTGTTAAACTGATCTGCGTGATTCTGCGAGCATCAGGGGCACGCCAACTTGCTCCAGTGTCCAAGTAAGTGGTTGCCTTCCCCTCTTTCATTCCAACCCCCCGTCGTCAACTCGGAAAGGGACTGCAGCTATCCTAACAACATGATCAATCCCTAATCCCTAGTCCAGACTGTGTTCATGGTGTTGCAGAGAGCTCCAAAAGTGTTTGATATTGGGTCCATCTTAGACTTCTTAGACGTGCGTTAGAATTGAAGGTGGCGTGTTTCCTTCCTCTCATTGGGTTACCCTCATTGGATTTGCCCTGAGTCTAGCAGCAGTGGGAAGCGACGGTGCTTTTTGGCAGGTCCTGCTTGCCCTGCAGTGCCTCAGCAAGCTGGGCTTCAAGTTGAGCCTGTGATTGCTTCAGCTTCTCGTTTTCCTTTTCCAACCTGATGTCAAGCTGTCAAAAAAACCGGAATGGGATCACTGCAGCTTTGTGCTTTGAACTGTTTGAGTCGCTGGCTCTCGTCGAATCTGCACTGATTCGCTTTGGCCGTTTGGCCTGGGTCAATGCAGCTTTGTACTTCTGATGTCGTCGCGTGGCATGATGGGTACTGTCGCGACAACGTGTGATGATGCTTTGAGGAAAGTTTATTTTGACCCGCGCGGCCTAGACAATGGAGCAGGCTCTTTTACAAATGCAGCTGATGACGTGATTGCTTTGTCCTGGCATATGGCACAGATTTTGAAAAGCGGTCTGCTCATGTCCCCGAATTGAGCTAGCGCGTCTGTCTTATATATAAGCACGGACACGAAGACCACTGAGATTGGGGTGCGCCGCCCATCAGACATGGCAGGGTTTTCGCGCAGTCAAATCGAGGCAGGTACTGAATCAAGGAGAATAATAATGATACGTCCTCTTGACCGTAGTAGTACTGATAATTCATAGCAATAACAGCCACCACTCGAAGAAGTGTAGCCGTCAAGCGCGTTCTCAGCGCAGGTTCCAAATCAGCCGGCCCTATGCGTTCATAACAGTCCCCATAGAACACTCGCTTCAATAACCCGTGATCTTTGACGTTCCAACTATCTAAATGGCGCATTCTTTATTTCACTAAGTATGTCATCTTTGTCCGTTGCAAGCAAAGCCTTCAAAACTGCATGCCAAAAAGCATTGGCAGTGCTCCGCGCGACGTGTGATTTTTCGCGCGGATCTTGCTGAGCTGCGCACGCATCGCCTCTTGGAGGCAAGCCGGGCTGAGGCGCCTGGCAGCTTTGCCAAGCTGCAAGCACGCTAATCCTGGACCGCTACGGTGGCCTGCCTTAGGCGCCTCCATTCCAAACCTGCAAAGGCTGCTCAAATGCTATGCAGAACCTCACCTGAGCTGACAAGGCATGACGCGAGCCTCTCTGATGGGCCCTTTCCGGTGCCCTTTGGCGTGCGGCCATCGCCCTGCTGATCGTAGCATAGCTTGAGGACAGTAAAGCTGATGCCAGGGTAAGGGCTTTCGAGTTTTTAGACACTCTGACGCAGGACTTGGAGACCCGGGCCTGTGGGTAGCCCATGGGGCTTGGCCTCAAGTCGCTTACGGCAAGCAAGTCTGGTGGAAAAGGCTGGGTGATTCAACAGAATGTCTTTGGGTCAGAAAGTAAACATCCAGGGTCCCGGACGCATCCCCTCGCGCCGAGCCTGCACGTGGCCGCGAGTCTCCGCGGCCAGCAGCCTTCAGCGCACGATAGCTTGGGGCTTGTAAATTCTCTTCAACCATGAAATCTGTCCTCGGCATTGCTGGGACTTCCTGGCAGAGCATGTGGACATCTTTGAGTCGGTCAGCTTCCTAATGAAGAAAAATGCACGCAGTCTTGCTAAACCCTTTGAGCTCTCAGACACTTACCGAGAAATACGCTCGCGAATTGAAACAAGGCTATGTTGCTTGCACAAGTCCATGATGAAACAGCAACTTGCCTTCGGTAAGCTTCCTCTTCTGCTCTGCCACCCGCCTGCAGGCAACCATGCGCTCGCACATGCTGCCAGGAGCAATACGCAGAGTATAGACATCGTACAGAAGTCGCCAGCCTTCCAGAATTCAGCCATGCCATCCTGCCACAGTTGCGTGCACGCCGAACATCTGCCGTGGGAAGCGGAGCATACCAAGAAGGACCCCCTGTCAGGCCTCAGCGCATTGCTGGCGGTGAGCCGCGATGCCTGATTGACCTGCACCTGGGAAACTCAACATGTAAAGCGTGTACAGGGCTACTCGTTGCGTATGGTCAATTTTTGTTCAGCATGCAGGCATCACAAGCACACCTAAGGAGTCAGCCAACTGCTTGCAGAAGGACCTGCAAAAGGAGAAAGCTTCCCAGCTACTTGGCTACATGTCTGAAGATTCTGAAGAGCCGTGACCTTGCAGGCTCTGAGAACTTCTGGATCGTCTCGCCGAGACCTGAAGCCATGGCTTTCAGGTTTGCAACAAAATTTGTTTGTTGCTCTACACACTTGCAACGTGCACTTGTTAGTTGCTGGATGTTGCACCAGGCGCTGGACCAAAGAGACCCAGACCTTGTGCTGCAACCTCAGATGCGCCACTCTTATGCAATGGCATGCATAATATGAAAGCACCGTTTTATTCAAGTTGCCGAGGAGGTGTCCGTGAAGTCGAGCTTTCCCTCCAGCCTTGCAAACTGCGAGGAGGCATCTGACACCACAGGACTGGTTGATGCCAGGTGCTACGAAAAAGAGCTCAGGCTCCAGCATTTGCCTTTGGTCCAGCTCATTCCTCCGGTTTAGGAAAGGATGCCTTCCACCGAAGATTATCATGTACCTGCAGTCGTAGCATGGCAAGAGATGCACAAGCTGAGGAAGACGGTGCCCCTCCCCCTCCCTGCAGTCTACATGGGTCCAAACGCAGAGCTGCGCTCTGCGTCAGCCACGTTTCGCACTGCGCTTGGCTTCACACATCAGGCCCCTCAAATGCGAGCTGCTCAGCTCGAGTTGGCCACCGGGCTGGCATGCCGTGTTTGGTTAGCCAAGCATCTCCAATGATCCTGAAAGCACTCCATGTCCAATTCGGGTAAAGCTACTTAAAGTACATGAAGGTATGTTCCCCAACGACTTGGAAAGCTTCCAACCTGTATCCTCTTCTGAGTGGAAATATCAACTTAAGAAAATCAAGCAATAGTGGGCAGGCTGGGAACTCAGCTCCCAAGGCCCAAGACGTCACCGGATGATTAGATATGGCCAGCACACTTTTGGAGCAGGTGCAAGCCTGCTCGAGTAGACACAATACTGCGGCCTGCTATGTCATCCATCCGTGCCCGAGTGGCTCACCGCTCCCCAAAGGCGAACTCACAAGCGACTCTGCTTCCTTCATACACTTTCTGTTCTGCTGCCTTGATGATGCTCTCGTTCCTCAGCGGCGCCCATGCAGGCACACTCCACAATGACTCGAAAGTGCAGGTTACTGCAATACGACACAGAGGCCCTCATTTTGGCACAGCGGCATTAGCCGGAACAGCGGCGACTGAGGTTCAATGAGCTGGCCCAACTTTTGCACGGCATGAGGCACCTCTTCGTGCACTACTCGTGAAGAAATGGGGGTATGATGTCCGCAGAGTCAACTTTCAAACGTCTTGCACGGATGTACACATTTGCAGGTGTGTATTTAGTGCTGTTATCCAGCCTCCCGACATTCGACGCTGCCGTCACCGATCTCCTGTGCACGCACGGCCGAATGAGCCTCGTGCGCACCCACACGCCGAATGTGAAGCTTGGGGACCTGACGGGCGTCACCATTTCTGTTGCCGTCTGATGATGTATGCAGGGGTTGGGAACCACAATGCTGCCATTCCATGCCATTCCGCCTTCACCGGTCGACCATAGCGGGCTGATGAATTATGTAAACTTTCTGTAGCTTCAGCATTTCAGCCGAAAGAAGCCGGAGGTGTCAGCAGATGAATGCAGCTAAGTTGCTGGGAAGAATGCGAGCTCTGACGGTTTTGTCACCAACCTAAAGTCAGAAAGACAGCCCAGAATTACCTGAAGAACAAGAACCACGACGACGACGACGACGACGACGACGACGACGACGACCACAACGACGACGGCGACCACAACAACAATAGCAACTGCTGCAGTAGCAGCAGCAGCACAAGCAACACAAGCAGCAGCAGCAGCAGCAGCAGCAGCAGCACAAGCAGCAATGCCACCAGAACAACCATGGCGACGATCACAATAATCTCTGCCGCGTTGCACGTCCGCCACGCGGATTGCCAGGTCCGTACATCGAAAGGCGGCGAAGTGAGAGTCAAAGCGGAAAATCGTCACAGCCTGCACTAAGCTCTGCATTGAATTTCCCTACAGCATCCAAGGAGTCATATTAAGCCGGGCATGGTCCTTCCAGTTCTCAGGCTCTTCAAGGGAGTCCAAAGCTTCCCGCTTGCAGAGAGCCACGGTGCCCTCGCTGGAGGTCACTTCATCCCAGTCAAGCTCCAAACTTCGCAGCGTGGAGATTACAGCGTCAGCAATGTGCTTGTGGTCTCCACAGTTCAGATAGATGCGGATGCGTTTCTCTCGTAGAAGCTTGGCAATACCAGAGAGCAGTCCAGCAAGGAAAGCACTCTGGGCACCTGCTCCACCCACTGCGATGAGGAATCGCCGTGGCAGGTTCCGCTCTGATCTTTCGATTCGCGCCTTGCTGTCAGCAATGGTGTTGATACACAAATCGCTTGATACCCAGTGCCCAGCCAATCGCAGGCTCTTCGCGGGGCATCCCATGTCCAAGAGCTTATCGAAATAGGACGGAGACTGAACCAGGTTTAGTGCGCCCGGAACGAGGACGAAGTACCTCTCTGCTCAGAATGGGCGTGGTACAAGTGTGGTCCAAACCTATCACTACTTGGCAAAACAATATCACAAGTCAGTCTCCTACCAAAAGTCGGTCTCCTATGCTCTGTGAACTTACTGCTTCTGCATGCCAGCAAGCTGTGGGAAGTTGTCAAAGATCAAGTTGATAACATTCGTGAAGCCACAAGCCACCGCCATGTTGCCAACAAACGGATGCGTGCTGATGACCTCACAAGCTTTGATTTGGAAACGTATCCCGTTTATTCCGGCGCAGTGTAGGCGCAGCTGCCAGACCCCTTACAAAGCTGCCATTCATAAAGGAAGGGACCGGTACGTCCTTGGGAAATGCAGCCATTATTCCGCGGATGCGTTGGGCCAGCGCTAGGGAACATCCTGAGTTGCCAAAGCTTCTGCAGCAAGTCGACTACGTTAGACAACGGCCATGACGTCATGACTTGTGCTGCCTAGTTGCGAAGTGCATTGGCGTCGCCTTGAAGCATCAACTTGCCCCAGATCGCGTCGAAGACTCCACCGAGGTTGGAGGCTATGCGAGACATGCGCGAGTACTGCCTTCGTTCTGTCCAAACAGTCTGGCGTCTAGCAGTCTAGCCCAGGCTCTATACGAGACAAGAAAATGCTACTTCCTCCCACGCCCCACCCAAAGTACGCAACCCAAAGCTCTTGAGTGCCACGGCTGGTGAGCTGCTTGTCCATGTTTTTGACTACCGCTGCCTCGATGCAATCAGGGGAGAGAATGTCCAGCAGGAAAGGTTTGCCTCCAAGCTCCAAAGCCCAGGTTAGCGCCGAGTAGGCAATACGATGGTGGCCGTAGCCCATCCGAACAGAGCCGACGATCACGGTCTTCTTGGTCTTCAAGGCTTCAGAGAGTGCTTTCAGACACTCCGGTGTGTTGCTCTGGCTTTGCTCCAGCAGAGAGAGGCCGTCCACTATAGGAGATGGGACCACCTCCCAAGCAATCTGCCGCTCCCAAGCATTGATCTTGGGGAACCCAGCAAAGGTCAGGCACATCATGCGATTGACATAATTTCGGTCTCTGCAAGAAGCCTGTTGGCCCACAAAATCTTCTGTTTGCTTTTCTGGCCATGGCTTTCCACCTAGCAGGTCAAGAGCATCCCCGCTCTCACTGGGGCGGTTGCAGCACAGGCGGCAAAACGCACCCCCCATGGCCCAGCGTGCAGTCTTGCTGCTATCCGACAAATTGGCTGGAAACAAACGGCCAAAGGAGAGTCACAGTTGGTGCTTGACATTTCTCCAAGCAAAACTAATGAATGAACACTGCGAAGAAAGCCCATGCGAAGCTTTGTGGCTTCAGGTGAACTGGCGCACATGGACACGCCAGCAGCCCACATGTCCACCGGAAAGCCATAGCCACGGCTGTGAACTGGCATCATATGCTGCTCCGGCCTTGCAGGCTGTTGGCAAAGAGATTCACAACATTTCTAGTTCCAGTTGGCTAGCTGAGGCAGAAGCGCCATGAAGGCGGGCGTTCCACATTTGTCAGTGAGGATGCCGCCTGCACCGAGAAGCCAAGAGCTGCTGAACGACTGGTGTCCGTTACGCCTTGGGGTAAGTGCACTGCCAGGCCAAAGTCCGACAACTTCAACGTGGAGTCCTCACAGTGTTAGCCAGGACAACCTGCTGCGAGAAAAAATTGCGGCAAATCTGCCAATGAGGCTGCGGCCCCCAAAACCATGAAGTTGTCGGGCCTCAGGCTGCTGCCCCAGCCCAAACTTAACTGGCTGCCGCACACTCCCGGAACTAGGGCTGCAGACTTGATGTCCCGGTGGCATATGCCTGCAGGCTCGAGGTGAGTCCATGCGTAACAGAACCTTGAAAATATCCCAGTACCGCGGGTTCTCGCAAGATAAACCGTAAGTGCGAGCTTTGGCGCGTGGAGCTTCCGTTTATGCGGCACTCTACTGAAGACCACATGCGTTCAAGACTGGCTCAAGCAACCTGCAAGACCAACCTGCGTAAAATTCGAGCGCGACATAAGCTTGCCCCAAGCTTACGCGCACAGCGGAAAATCTTATACGAGGCTGGCATGAGCTTGCCAAACAACAAAATATCCAACAACGATCGCAGGGCTTGCCTTTGACGTGCAGATGGTTCAGAGCTTCGCCTGGCAGAAGCACATGCCCTGTCAAGGCGCTCTTGTGCATAGGATGCCATAGAGTATGACATTTCCTGTTTTGGGAACAACGCGGGGCTTGCAGTGCTGTTTAGCCACTTCACCCTTGGCAACAAGTCGGACGAACACATTTGCCGCATCCATTCAGCGGTATCTTCTTCTTTGATGACCTGACTCAAACACCCAGGGAACACTGCTGCAAGTTGGAATACAGATTGAAATACCTAGGACTCCGACAGGTCCAAGCTCTCGGACCTGTGGACAGCGCATGAGACCATGAGACCATGAGAGAGAGAGAGGCAGGAGAGATGTTGACTGCATTTTCCTACTGCTGCGTCCGCCGCTTCTTCTAGCTGGAAGCAGATTCACATGCAGAACTCGTGCATACGTACATTTGGTGTACATTCTGTTTCCTTCCAGACATGCGGCACAGCTAGTGCGTATGTACGTTTCAGCCCGTGGCCTTGTCACCAAAGTCACCTCCGTCACAGTACTCCAGGGCCAGGTAGATGCTGGTCTGGTCCTGCAACTGCAGCAGGCACAAAGGCGCGAGCAGTTCTCAGCTGTCCTCGAAGGTATCATACAACTTCGTGATGTACTCGTGCGAGCACGCCTCTGTCATCTGCTACTTCCGTCTTCCGTAACCTCTCTCAGGATCCTACCGTTTCCTCGAAAATAAAAGCATGGTCAGTCGGATCGCACTTGTAAAGACACGTGAGGCAAAGACTACGTGGCTCCGATCTAAGAGAACTTGCATTCATGACGTGCCATGGCCATGCCGCCAGAGCCTGCAGATGTCTGCAGCCTGACCGTCCTCAAATCTCCCAACGGGGACGGGGTAGCCTTCATCATGGTCACCTCCCTCTCGATGTCCTGGCGCTTAACCTTGGAAAAGCACGAGAAGATGCTGCACGCCACAATTCGGTGCCAGGCCTCATCTAGTGACTGACGGCATCAGCATGCACTGAGAAAGCTGCTCCACGTTTTGGCATGCTAGCTTTGTCCATCTGCTTGATGGCGACCTTACAAGTCCGCGTGCGCAGGCTCGGGATGCGCCAAGGCTAGCCTTCGCTTTGTACTCGATCTGCAAAGTCTTCCCATGATTGGAAATCTTGAAAGAATTCCATCTGCCCTCTACCCTCAAGCAAGGAACCAATGCAGCTTTACGCTAATCACATGCCTGCCTGGGTTTCCTGCTGTTATGCCACTCTTGCGGTGCTTCGCTCGCCACACTGTGCCGAAGCTTCCCTGTCCCAGCTTCACCTGCTTCCGGCTGTCCAAAAGCTTCAATGCAAATTACTGAGGCTCGCGTCTAATGCAGCCACACCCTTTTGGCCAACAAACAAGTGCGATAGCATGCAGCGTAGGGAGAGAGGAAGAACTCTGCGGGGGCTGTAGTTGTATTGCTACCATACTTCTGAATTCCAGGCCCACCTTCAACAATAATGCCGCAAAAGCTGATGCTCCTGAGAACTGTGCGAATCAAGCTGAACAAATCCCAGTGCCGCGGTCAACAAGGATGACACGCGGAAGATGCTTCGAGCTTGCGCAGGAACAACTCACTTTTGCAAGGCAGCCCAGCTCTGCCCTGCTCTGCCCTGTGCCTTCTGCACAAAATAAATTTCATCGAGCTTCTCCCGGCCGCCAACCTTGACCCAGCAGGCGATGCCGGTTTGCGCTTGGTGCTCAATGTAGCACACAACTGCAGGATCCCAATATGACATCGTGGGTCACGAGAGTGCGGTTCAGCTCGCATAACACATCAGCATACATCAGCACAGCATAGCACAGCGCTCGCAAAGGCCAGCCTGGCCCATCTCAGCGTAAACCCAGGCAGACCTGGCCGTTTACAGCGAGCGCAGCAAGTGCGCCTGCGTCAAGCAGTTGGCAACAACAGGCAACGACGCGCCACGCAGTTGCCTGAGAGGTCTTCTCCCACGCTGGTAATGGCCTGAGGCGCAAATCGACTCTACAGTCACTCATGCAATATCGAACAAAGTTTTCACTGGGCCAGTCTTGCAGCTGATCCATGCAGCTGCAATTTTTCAGACCCAGGCGGCTAGCGGTCTCGCCGCCAAGGACGGCACAAGAGAGGTCTCATCCCCAGGGTTCTTTTCAGTTAGTGTCTGTGAGCCAAGGGAGCCGCAAGAAGCGGGGTGGCATCAAAAACGCCCTCTAGATTTGCCTATGACGGAAATTGGATTATCACATTAAGCTTTGTATGCTTGTCATAGCTAGACTTTGTTGTCTTGTTGTTGCTATTTGTTGACCATTCGGTTTCCCGGCGCAGGCTTTACCAAGCTCTGGAAGCTTGTGGTGGATCATGAACCATCCTGGTGTAAACTGTGCGGGAAAGGTCGCTAAGCATCCCAGCATGTGCATGCGTAATTACGGCCTTTTTGCAGACACATGCTGTACACTCCTGTATCACTCCACACCTGCTGCCACATGCAACTTGCATCAAACTATGCCTTAGAACCCTTGGTACTCTGTCTTTCGACAACTCTATGGCAATATGGACATGCAGGTCGTGAAGCGAAGCGCCAGAAGTTCTGGAGCACAGGCGCAAGCGAGGGCTATTCTCTGATTCAGAATGCAGTACTTTGTTGCAAGAAACACGACAGCAGCTGACTGCGGGCGTGAAATCTCTCTCTTGCTGAGCCCCTGCTTTCAAGCAGTGCAGGTGCATCAAACAAATTTGTGATCGAATTAATTACCAGGCGGCAGAGTGGTGATAGTTGTCGTTGAATCTGTATGCTCTCTCATACCAGTCTTTTGCAACTGCGCGATGCTAATCTATGAACGTTGTTCAGGATTGTTGAGGAGCTGTGTCAAAGCATTTTTGACTCCACTTCTCAGACAACCTCTGCCGGGTAGGGGCGTCTGCCCACAACGCCTATGTGACACTCACGTACAGATCTCAGGCATCTGCCTTGCGAGGTTGTCATGAACCGTGGACGGCTGCTGTTGGCATTCCGTGTTAGCATCTGCAAGCTGAGCAGGCCTTGTTCAGGGCTGATCCTTTGCCGCAGTGCCACCTCACTCCAAACCACCGCGAAACACACTTTTCATACTCATGTCATGGTTTACCCGAGTTTACCGGCCGGAGGGGGACCTCTGCACCAGGGCCCCGCGCTGATCCGTGCTTGGGGTGGACCACAGCCAAGAACTTGGAGCAGCCGCCTTGACAATTTCTGAGGTTGCGGAGGGCTCCTTGTAACCCTCGAGCTAAGAGACGTGAGTATTGTCCCGGCTTCCAAACCTTCCTGCCGCACAGAGAATGAAACAAATGCCAGGTTAGCGAACAAAACGGATCATCGAAACCGGTTTAATATCTACGGTACAGCAGTGCCTGCGCACAAGTGAAACCGCAGGCTGTGGTTTCCTTTGACAACCTGCTAATGCACCTGCTGGAAGTATCTGGAACTGGATGAGCGGATGCGCCACTGAACAAGCAAGTTCTGGCCAGGGTTGCTGCAGTATGAGGTCTTGTAGCACACCAGGCACAGATCGAACCTTGGACTGGCAGACTGAGCAACTGCGCACCAAGCTGGCATAATGATCAGACTGATAGAATAAAAGCTACAAAGCCGGCCACGACTACTGTACGTAGGCTGCCGGCAGAAGGGTTGCTGACCATCTCGTATAATGCCTTGGGGCATCAACGTTCAACACCAGAGCTGTGCAAGCAGGCCCCTTTTCGGCCATGCTGCAGCTGCATCAGATTCAAAATTCAAGCATCCTGTGCGCATTTGTGCTTCGTATGCTGTGTACCATGAGTAGCGGGCATCCACGTTTGCGATCAGCTGCTCGAGGATCTTTTCTTTGATGTCTTGGAGGCCCAACCTCAGCGAAGTTACACTGGGAATTCCACTCTCCAAGGTTGCCATGTCTTCTTGGCATGTTCTTAGAGAAGCACTCTTCACAGGCTGCCAGGCGGTCCAGCAGGTTCGCTGTTGTCAGGTTCGTTGCCAACCAACGCGCGGCCTGTCAAACTGTGAACTCCCTGAAGGACTGCAAATGAGCTCCCCCCAAAGCCACATGTCCAGACCGACCTGATGGGTTCAGTGTTTTTTGGTCCCTTTGCACAAGCACTGGGACAACGTTTTGATTCGGCGCTGTCCTGCGACGTCCCAAGCAGGAAGCCGACTCGGTCCCTCCATCAATCCGTGTCGTTCCCATAACATGAGTGAAACAACATTCTGGCTCAGCTACCTGCGTCCCTGCGCCTAGGCATCACAGCTCATCTTCCAGTAGTCGTTGTTGGCCCCGTAGTCCTGAAGGAGCTGGACTGTTGACATCTCCAGCGTCTGCTCGATCAACGTGCGGAGATGCTGGAGTCTGCTCTCCTTGTAAATCTCCTCCCCCGCATCTGGGTGTCTGCAGGCCTCGGGCATAAGCTTATGGATTCAAGGTTCCACTACCCGGAGATACCACCTGGCATCCGCCACCCACACATGCAGCACGGATTCGATCTTGAGGTTCGCCTTCTTGAGCTTCCCACGGTACTGGTGGAGGCGGTGCTGCAGCCGCACCAGCTGCGTGACGCGGAGCTTGTAGGCTACAACGTCTGAATGCCCCCGGGCGGTGCCGCGAAGCTGCAGCAGGTGCATGAGAAATCCAGCGAGGCCCCTCTGCTCGAGGGCTTTGACTAGATGAGGCCTGGCATAGTACGACATGTCAGGCTCATGGACCTCGTGCAAGGCCTTCTCGTATAGGTTCAAGAGGTGCTCAACTCACATACCCTTTCCGTTCTCGAGCCATTAGGACTCGGTCAATGCCGACTCATGCGGGGGCGGCTTGTTCACCATGACCCGCACGCCGCGCTTGACCTGAGCAGCACCAGCGAAGAAGTCAAAGGGGTAGGGGAGGAGGGTTCGACCGCCGAGCTAACAGACTGCAGAATGCAGGGGCCCGCCGAGCTAGCGGAGCACAAAACGCAAGGGCCGCCCGCGGAGCTCCCGAACTTCTCTTCGCAACCGAGCTGTCGGAGTCCTGAACCCAGAACTTTGGGCGTCAGGAGCTCTGCGGCACCCGTGTTTTACCACGAGAGTTGGGGGGGATCTCGATGGGTAGCTCCAAGGTGGGCCGACGGTCAAATTTGTTGGCATTCCTGGCGATATTGACATTGCGATAACGCTGTGTTGACCAGGCTGCAACAGCCTCATACACTTTTCCAGTAAGCCAGCCGAGCCAGTTGTTTCCTTGGATTTCCATGGTCCTCCAGACTCAGTTCATGTGGGATCTCCTCCCCGTGGCCTGCCTCTCCTTCTGAATCCCCCGCCGGCTCGTGAGCCAGCTGCCAGAGCAGGGTGCCCTCGGCTGCCACGCTCGTAAGTGTCCTTGCTGGGGCTGCAAGCGCGGGGACTTTAGATTCAGGTGCAGGAGGTGTAGCTGCAGTGGGAAGACATGGGGCCATAGCTGCCACTTATGCTGGTGCAGGTGCAGGAGGTGTAGCTGCAGGGGGATGAGATGGGGCCGCAGCTGCCACTTATGCTGGTGGAGTTCTCTTGGCTCGTTGTATGCGCCGCTTGTTTTGAAGAGCCATCGCAGAGGAGCGGACAGTCCGGCTAGCCTTTGCGGTGCTTCACGGGCCTCTGGTTGTAGGCTCGCGTGCTGCTTGCTGAGGGACTGCACTCTCGCCTGTATGTAAGCCAATTCCTCTTGTGCCTTCTCCTTGTTGTGGTGCGTTTGATCTAACAAGCCTTTTTCTGCAGCGACCTGCTCCTTTCGCTTATTAGCCGCGACTCCACCTCTTGGAGCCGCTGCTCTTGAGCCGCGACTGCTGTCGACAAATCTTGGAGCCTTCCTTGACTGTCCTCGATGGTCGGCTGCGTGGGCGGAAACGGCCCCTCTTCTAGCTGCCGTTTCAGCCCTCTTTTCTTTCTTTCGTGCGGGCTATGGAGGAGAGCTAATGCTCCCCCCGGGCTTCAATGCCCAGCCCGTGTTGGGCTGTTCGGTTGGATCAGCCCTCTTTTCTCCGCCTCACTCTGCTCAAGTTTTTGCTGGAGCTTTTCGTGCTCCAGCTGTTGCTTGCCCATGCTCTCTCTCGCGGCCCTCTCCCTTTTTATGGAAGGTCTCAATCTGCTCTGTTAAGGGCTCTGCTGGAGCTGCTTTGCAGAGATGTTGGAACTGCCTCCTGCTGCATGTGACGTCGGTGCTGCTAGCATCGCCCTCTGGAGCCTCTTTGAGAAGTCTTGCGTTTCTATCGAGGAAAGCAAACTTTCCTACTGGGCAACGATCACCTGTTTTTTTGAGCCACCTACGTTGTTGAGGGTCAGCTGGAGTAGGTTGAGGGTCAACAATCGTCTGCAAGCAGTCAGTCATCAGCACTCTGTTGGCTCACTTCCTGACACAATAGTTTGCAGCAAGATCTTTACAGACAGCTGCTCAGAGCTGGTCCTTTTGGCAACCAGCATGCAATCAGCTCACTGAGAATGGAAGTTGTCGATCTTTTTTTCACAATGGCAGTTGCGCCGAGTTGGACTTCAGAGTACCGCCGCTCTGCCAAAGTTCTGTCGGAAGAGTCAATTATGCTGAGAAGCAGTACAAATACACCGTCATGCAGCGGCCACAAATGGCACCTTCCGGAAAGACAATCAAGTTCTCGAAATGCTCGTAGGTCTCGGACGCGGAGTCTCAGACAGGGCTCAGACGCGAATGCACACCGCACTGCGCAGTCAATGGTGCCAGACTCATCTGACGAGGCGTCGGCAACAGCGCTCTCAAGCACAATCCGGTCTCTTTATGGGGTGCCTCCACATGCTCTCCAATGTTCCAGCATATGAAACTTCGGCTTGCAGGCGGCATCGTCGAGGTCCACCTCTTCTTCTTCTTCTCCTCCTCGTGCATGTTTGCACGCGGCCGATGAGGCACCAACAAGGTGGAATCTACGGCCAGCCGTCACATCTTGTTCAGGAAGCCACATGGTCAATCCAGGAGTTTGCACTCACGTAGGCTTGCTGAGCTCTACAAAGATGTAAGCTCTGCGGTCTAAAGTTGCGCCGGGGGAGGACAAAGACCTGGGCAGTGTTTTGTCAATCTTGCTTAACAAGGCCTCAACCTTTTACGCATTCTCCTAAAGACAAATGAAGCTCCCCGCCCAAAAAGAGGTGAGCTTCAGTACTACAAATGGGATGGATTACATTCATTCCCTTCATTTTGGTGCTAATGATAAGGGAGTGGTTGTTTCCTTGGCGAATTGCCTTCAGACGTTAGATAGGCACGACACTGGACGGGAGAGAAAAAGGACAGAGCATGCTAGTTTAACAACAAGGCACACGATGGAGGAGGACACAGATGCATCCTTCCGAAACTCTGTATGCAAATCTACGTGGTGTCTCTTCCTCCCAAACAGCAGCTGTGCCCGATGAGGCATCTGTGTGTCGTTCACTTCAAAAGACCACTGATGCATGCCGGTGAAGTTCATGTGGGCAGCCTCGTCCCTGCACCGATGCGACTTAGCTTCATGCGGGCCCGTGCAAGGTCTACGCCACCCATTCGGCCAACTTCAACTTGGGATTACAAGCAAATGCGCAACGTTGTCAGTAAGAGGGTCCGATCCAGAAGAAAACTCTAGAAGAAAGCTCGACTTTGGTTACGGTCTGCCTAGCATGGCGAAGCAGAACGCGGCCGCCAGGTCGTGTCACCTAACGTCACAACTAAGGTTGTGAATCTAGACAAACTGTTTGCGTTGATGCGTCTCTGCTTTTTCTCCCAGCCCTGTTACACCTTGAGCATCTCTCGTATGGCACGCGTTGGCTGCAATGAATGGTCCAGGGCGTTGCGAACATGTACCAAATCCTTGGTAGTGTGCACTGCTTCCATCTCAAAGAGTCTGGCGGACAGACATCTCACAAAAAGACATCGTCGACACTTGCTAAACGCGGCACCATCATCGCCTAAGCAGGAAACTGAGATCCGCCATGCCCAGGTGGGCAACAGCTGGCAAGACCATAAGCCATAAGCACTCTTTGTGAGCGAGGCTTCTAAGCAGCAGGCAAACATGCAGTGCGCCTGCAAGAGCAAGCAGTTGCAACGTAAGGACAGATGGCAGTCACAGGGTGCATCAAACAAACGGTTGTCGGAAAACTGCTAAAATCACATCAGCAGCCAAGAATCAAAATGATGGTCCGGGAAGCATGTGCTAAGCGCCTTCGAGGCATCTCCAGCGGAATTCCCGGCTGAGGCAACCCCTTCTATGATGTTCCACTACGAGCAAATAGTGACCTGAAAGCATACTAGCGCACATGCTGCTCCTCCAGAGGACATTGCGTTAGCTTTTTCGGAGGTGACAGGCCCAGCATCAGGAACATGCCTAAGTCTCACGAAGCAACCCTCACACCAAAAGATCGCTGAGGCTTGTCACTATTCTTCACCTTCCTTCATGACTGAGGAGCACGCGCTCATACAGATCGGCCAAGCCGTCTGCTGAGATTACTTCGATCGTCCCACCCTCACCTTGCACCAACAAGCAGCAGCGCTTCCTGGTGCATACTGGCATCCGCCCTGAAAACAGGACTGGGACAACATAAAACATCTTGCTATGTTGGAACAGCTGCAATGAATATCCTTTGGAGCCACAGGTCCACTTCCTGCGTTGAGCAGGCGGGCGGTCGGGCGTGGTGCGATGGCACAGAAGTCATCGTATGTCCAATCCTCCATGTTTTCGCATAGCCAACGCTTCTGGTGATGATCATAACAGCCCTAGACCCTAAACCCTAAGTTGTAGCGTTTCAGGCTGTCGGCCTCGGAGATCGAGCTGGCGACCCACTGGCCTTCCTGCCAGTCACTGAACCAAGCAAGTTAAGCTTTGCCTTCAGATCGCGAGACCTAGAAACTGGGACGTCGAGCTCATTACACTCATACATCTACTTTGCTGCTAGTTCATGTATTTCTTGGCGGCGGATTTGACTGGGGTCTTGCGCATCGTGGGGCAGTGGTGCCCTTGTCAAAAATCCGGCCAGAACAAACAGATTTCAGGATAACACAACAGCCCGTGATGCTTGTAATTCCTGTGCTCATTCTTGAACTACCCCTATACCTTTCGAAACGGAAGACATCAACACCACGGCTAGGTCTCTGCATGTCTCTGCGATGTTGCTCTATGCACCCTCTGCAGCAAGAGCCTTGTTGATCTCCAACCACCAAAACCAGAATGCAAGCTCATTCTGCAAGCCTCACATGACATCGTGAAATTGTGCCACGGTCTCATGTGTTCACATGATAAGCTTGTGTACAACAGCAGATTAGGCTAACTCATCAACATGAATCAGCAACATCAGGAGGATACATAGGTGCCTTCACTCAAGAATTGTGGCTTGGACACGACGCTAACGTGGCAACACAGGGTTGGCATAAATGGCATAGGAAGTGTGGTAAGGCCTGCCGTTGCCCACTGCTTTGCTGCTTGCGCAGCATCACGATGGCCATCTCGAAGTTGCTGAAGTGCTGGGTCTGTCAAGAAGAGGCCTGACCGCTGCAGGAATCAAAGTTTGAGCAGACGGGCAGCTTTGTGGGCTGTGGCCTGCACGGTCCTCCCAGTTCCACTTGACATCAGGGCAGTTCAGCATGCTGCACATCAGCTCGCGATGCTTCAAGGCCTGCCATGGCCCAGCCCGCTGGTAGCGCGTGCGGGAACTCTTTAAAGTTCTTTGTTTCGGAGGTTTCGTGGTTCAATGTATGGTGACTGCGTGCAGCTGAAGCGCCCAGAGGTTTTGGGACCATATTGCGGGCGACGGCCAAGCGGAGCTGCCACATTCAGTGGCTCGGAGCGACATTCGCAGTGCGCTCTTCAGTAGTTCCTGGCTTGCACCAGCGTGCCGCGCTTGTACAGGAAAGATGCCGCAACATGACATGTTGCGAAGCTGCCGGAATTTGCGCCTCCGAAGCTTGATAGTTCTTGCGGACCATGGCCAGCCTCGGCATAGCAGAAGAAAGCAAAACATGTAGCATACAATAGCTTTGAAGGCCCTGGCCCTGCCTCGCACAAGCTCCGAGTGCAGATGCTCGTCCTGCTGCGCAACTGTGACCGCGGCGCCAGCTGCAGCCTCAACAAATCTGTACAAGCACAGGACCACGCGGCACGAGAAACAGTGACCGGGTCCCCGGCCAGCGCCCGAGGCATTGGTCGTGGAGGCCCGCAAGGCGCGAAGCACGGGGCGCCAGCTGTTGCTGCAGCGGCAGACAGGGCTTCTCTCGAGCCTTCAAAATTGGTCACACACTTCTAAGAAGCCTTCTAGTAAGAAATGTGCTGAACAAGCACTTAAGACCTTGGACTGAGTAGTCGCAAGGAAGCCAGGAAAAGCCAGGACCCAGGCCGGGGGTTTCGGAAGACCTGCACAGAGCAGCGCGGCTGATGTTTCCGTCGGGGACGCGTGGAAGCAGCCTGGTGAAGCGCCAACTTTACAAAAACTACTTTGGAAGCTTGGCAACGTGCTTGCGCCGCGCAGTGCACAACGGAGCACATTTTGCGGAGAGGGAGAGAGAGAGAGAGAGGGCGCGACATGCAAGCGAAGAAATCACGCCTGCAGCTGACTGCAGGTTGCATTCGCACGCAACCCATAGTAGGCCAAGGCGAACCACTCCATCAAATCACGCTTCACCTGTCAGCCAGCAGGTCAGCTTTCCCCTGTACCCAACTGTTCAAAGGCTTTACGCAAGTTCTCCCATCCGGCCTTTCCAAGGCCTGCAAAATGCAGGAAAACCATAGTTGCGTCATTACCGCTCTTTGGTGCCTGCCCGGTTCGCTAATACTAGCCATCCGCCATGACACTACCAGAACATGATGGGACCCTCGCTCTAACAAGAAGACACCAGGGCCGCGCGGCATTGCGTGATCACATCTGTTCAACCAAGTCTATGATAGTCTTCAGCGAACGGCCTTTGGACGTCCCGAGGTGCGCTTAGCTCGGGTCCAGCCCTCTTTCGGAATGTGCCAAATCCTCAGCCACGTTAACACCGCTGATCTTCGGGTAAAGGCCGTGCCATGAAGTTCACATTGTGATCCCAACATGTTTCAAATTGTTCCAACATTGCGTGCGGATACCAGGATGAACGAGAGGCAATGCACCACGCCTCTGAAAAAGAAATGCCAGCATTTTTTATTCGCAGCTTGACACGGCCGAACCAGCGGCAGGCGGATAAAGTAATGGAGCGTGCGACGCTGGAGGAGGAGAAATGTCACTGAAGCGACGAAGCAACGGGCAAGAGACAAATGCACCCTGCTCGATCTGTGGCACATGGGCAGACATTGCTATGGGGCGCCAGTCTCTTCACCTGTTTAGTTCCGAAGTCCCAACCGGCGTGTCGGTTTCGAGGTCGAAGCATTGTCTTCGTTATCAGAGCGGCGTCTCGACATGACATTGCAGATGAGGGCTCATATTGATTTCTGGGTCTAGAATCAGAAGCTTGACAGCAACATCGAATTGGAGTTTAGTTCGGAAAGCACATGATCCCTTCTGGCAGGCTTTCTGCAAGTCACTTCTTCCGCTTCTCTGCGGCCAACAATGCTGCAGGCTGCAAATGTGTTTGGCAGGTATGTGTCTCTTTGAATTCTTTAGCCTGTTCCACTATCCTGCCAAGCATCTCCGAAAAGACTGGGTTCACGTTCCTGGGCGAACTCAGGCTGCTACATACTACACGTGTTGCATGCTGATCAGCGTAAGGACACAGTCCTCTACAGCACGACAGCTTCTGCATTTCTCGGCCTTCTGCAAATTCCAATATACAATAATCGTTTCTGTCAACAGGTCCCTGGTGTGCGTGGCAAGGCACAGATTGGCACGCAGCGGGTTTGTGAGGCCGATTACTGCTGATTGGCGACGTCCCACCGGTCCTCCGGCACTGAGAGCTGCGCTGACTGTTGACGATGCGAGCAGCACTACATACCAGTCATGATCCCTCGGCCATGACTTTGCAAAAGTGCTGACTTTCTGCCAACTCCTGCCAGCGCTTCAGACTTGCGCAGCCAACCTCAAAATCTAAGATCTAAGAGGCAGACATTGCACCGTACACGAAAAGAGGTGCAAGTCTAGCGTGGCACTTGCAGAAGTCCGAGCTGCACATGCCGTAGTTGGCCGGAAGGTAGGGAGGTACCATGCCTCCACCTGGCCTTGGATTATGTGAAACATTCTGCGGAGACCAGCTGTGAGCCCCCATCGGTCGTCGTCGTAGTCGTAGTCGTCGTGATCGTGGTCTCGGTCTTTGTGGTTTGTGGTGGTCCTCGAGGTCATGGTTGTTGCAGTCGTGGTCGCTGCCGCCGTCGTAGTATGTGGTCGCGGATTGGTGGTCGTGATGATCATCGTGGGCGTGGTGGTCGTGGTCGGCGTGGTTGTGGGCGTGGTGGTGGTCGTGTTTGCAATCGTGCCGGCGGTGGTGAAGAAGTAGTAGTAGTAGTAGTAGTAGTACTAGTACTAGTGGTAGTGGTAGTAGTAGTAGTAGTAGTACTAGGCGCCCCCACCTCTACCAACTATGTTTGTTGACATGTTCACTACCGGAGCTGGGGGGGCTAATTGTGTATAAACCGACCTCAACCAGTCAACTTCCCCCAAACTCGATGCCTTCCTTCGACTGCTCCAACTAAACAAGATCATGGAGTTTCTCTTGCTTTGGGAGGCAAGCCAATGCGGATCCATAGGACCGCATGTTTGGCCCGCAGTTTTGAACGTACCCCGAAATCCTTGATGACAGTGTGTCCACGTTGGCATCTCTTGGA